CCCTTGATCTCATCATCGACCAGCTGGAGCGCATAAGATTCAGTCACTTTAAGTGATTTTTCTCGTCGGACTGTATGTTCAATGGGCTAATGAGTCTAAGATCATTCCTAGTCCGTTGCTTTGGAAGTTCCTCCATCTCTGCCCATCGATTTTGCATTCTGCCTGTCCGTCGGACTGTTCAATTGTTGACCATCAGATTGGAAGTCAGTCAGCTTGCACTCAGGTCAAGAAATTCTCTTAGGCGATTTGGATGACGGACGGTACTTTGATGAACGCAATGAAGATGGTGAAGATGATCCTTGCAGGGAGAATTTTATCAACAACTTGGCCTTAATTGTGCCCTGGCTCATGATCTGTCTTTAGAGTATTTGAGTTTTGTTGCACACGAACAATGATATGTCAATGAGTGCGTATGTGAAACTCAGTTTCAGCTTTGAGACAACTCCGGGCATTTCTGAAACCCCTTCAATTGCCTTTTGAGCTCTAATGTGATGCCAAAATGAGGAAGATCTCAGAGTCAATGGTCCCCAATGGTTTTGAATGGTTCCAATGGCCCTTATTGGTTGAAACGGCCCCCAATGGCCCCCATTATCCAAAGTGGAGGACTGGGACTTGCAAGATACGGACCTGATCTAGATCACTTTGGGGCTTTTAATCGACTCCAGTCAAATGAGTCTTTGGAATCTAGCGGATGGAATCAACCAGTGAGCCCTGAATGGCCCTGAGCGCAAAAGACTGCTGGCAGCTCTTCATGTTTCATTGTTTTGAGTACGACGGACATTGGTCATCGTTGACATCGCCGGACATCGATCGACCTCGACGGGCATGAGTCATATTATCGTATTCAGTCTCTCAGTATCTCTCTCCAAGGTGACCAGAGTCAAGAACTTCGGAGCAATTGCTCAAAGAACACTGAACACGATGAAGGATGAGAATGAGGACTCTCCGGTCAGGGTGCGCGCACGATTCATGATTCATTCTTTAGAATTCGATTGCATTTGCTTCAATTGCAGCGATTTTGGAGCCACATGGTTGGTGAATGACAATTTCCATCGATCATCTATCCATGTCACTGTCCAACTACAGTAACCAACAATGAACTACAGTAGCAGAGCCTCCTCAACTGGTTGACAGTAACCGGTAAGGGAGTGACTACAGTTTGCAACACGCAACTGACTCAACTGATATCAATTGACCTCACGCATCAGACTCATTCCTCGATTGGCCATGCCGCGTGTGTCCGTGTTCAAATTCTATCACCACTCGAGCTCAAGACGACACGCGTGGGTGTTCCTTGTGCACGGTCACTTCAGTGGAGGTGGAGATCAGCAAGGTTCAGCCCCTTCCAAGGAAGGCCAAATCGTATTCCAACGTGAAACGAGGCGCGGCAAGCCTGACTGAGTTTAAGTCAAACAGTCAGAGTCAGAGTCAGACATTGTTCATTGGAAATTTCATCTCATTCAACTTACCCTCCATCCAACAAACATGGCCCCTTGCAAGACCGTTTTCCTCTACGAACAGGCTGTATTCCACTTTGTTTCAGGGAGGGTCAGGGTGTTTCAAGTTGATCTGTTCTTTGCAGGACGAAACGCCTCGCTATCGGCTCCTGCGGAACCTGGGAGATGGCAGTGGATGATGATGCGCTTCCAGCGATTTGCTTCAAGTCCTTTGCCTGCGAGGATTCGCCGCAGGTCTAAACACGACTTGAAGTTCAGTGTTCAATGCGCCTACGATGATGGCCGGTCTGCGACTTGAATGGAAACAAGTGGGCTGTTTGACTGTTTGTGCGTTGTTTGGGTTGGGATGCCGCTGTGCGAGTGTGAGCAATTGTCGATTGTGTTGTTTGAATAGCCGTGGACTTTAAATATTAACTGTGTTCACTCTTGTTCACTATATGCTGAGACCTGGACATCGATGCAAGCGGTCGACCAGAAGATCCACTGCCGCACGATGCACTATATTGGATGGATGATCTTGAACCAACTCAACCAACCATTCACCGGTGATGAATGGCTCCAGCGCCTACACCTGGTGTCAGTTCCTGCTGCGCGACTTGCAAGGCCTTTGCCGTTGCCTGCGGCGGTGGCGGAGGATGAGGATGGTTGGACGATCGTCTTTGTTCCAGAGGATGATTGAGTCATCTTTGAATCCTGGAATCGGAATGTTGGCAGACTGCCAAAATGTACATTTTCATTTAGATACAGTTGGCAGAAAGCCAAGGGAATTGCTTGTCGGTCACATGAATGGCACGTTGACTTCAAGGTGAACTTCCATCAACTGTAGACTGTAGACTGCTGTAGACTGTCGACTACTGACTACTGTAGACTGTCGACTGTAGACTAGACTTTGACTACACTGACTACACTAGACTGGACACTAGACTGTCTAGACTAAACTGGACCTGTCTGTGACCGAGCCCTGTTCATTGAAGCCATGTGGTTTGGAGTTTTCGCGACCGCGACAGCCACGAATTGCTGTGGCTTGATTTGCTGCGAGCAGAGCCGAGCAGCAGAATTGATCCTGCTGGCCGGTCGTCGGTCACATAGGTGAGATAGCTCAGCTCCGATGATCAGTGTGTGTGGGTTGTTTTTTCGTTCTTGTGTCAGGGTTCATGTTGGTGGTTTGGTTTGTGTGACCACGATCGGATGTAGGGCAGTGGATCTTGGAATGAAATCGCGCTGCAGTCCCGCTGGAGTGCACCGGACCGTCCCGGACCCGTTCAACGTGGATGGAAAACAATGGGGCGAAGTAGGCATTGGATGAGTGAAGTAGGTAACGGTATCGGTATAGCCAGGGCCATGGTCGAAGATTGAGTCGGGAAGCAAAATACTCTTACTTACTTGCTCCTTGTAGTACGGCCGGGAGCCCCTAGTTCAAGTTCTTTGTTGTTCTCTCGCTGCGCGTCGATTTGCTCGATGGGTCGGAAGGGCTCGCTTGGATGGGGACTCCAGTCTCAAAAAAACAGAACTGGTCCGGTTGAGAATTTGAGAATCAGTTGAGAAGCGTCCTTGCCACTAGTAACTTCACTAGTAGTAAGGCCAGGAGCCCCTAGTAACGTTCTTGCTCCTAGTAGCGATGCCAGAAGACCCTAGTAGCGTCCTTGCTTGGTAGTAGTAAGGGCCACCGAGTCGGAGTCAGCATGTTTGCAGGAGCTGAACAACACTTGGGAGAGCAAGCGCGAGTACAACGCTCAGCCAGTGCGCAAACAGCACGAGAAGATAGACCTCTCAGTGCTCAAAAAGGAAGAGCGCTACACGGACCTTTACAATGAAGGTGAGGTGCAGCCCCTGGATGCCTACTTCTTGACAGAGCATGGGTTCAACGTTCAAGACTGGGGGGCTACGGAGGAGAAGTATCTCTTTGCAGAACAGGACAGGTGTATGGACTAATACTAATAATATTAACTACTCATATGATTCAATGACATCACATGATGTTGGTGCCCCAAATTATATTATTGGGTACGGTATTGGCACAAGTCGGGCCAAGTTCATTGAAGTGTCATTGCTAGGGTGATAGCCAAGAACTGTGACCCAGGAGCTTGGGGTCCAGCGCTACGATGATGAGGGAGTGCCTTCTGTTGTCATCTTCTCTGGGAATCAGCAAGCAGCAGGACAGACTTTACCGGCCTGACTCGGCTGACTACGGTTAGTCACGTTCCGTCAAACGGACCCTGACTCTAATTGAGTTGTGTACTTGTTCATGGCTTCATTTGTTGCGGTCAAATTGAATTTGTTGTAGTGAGTTTTTTTGACGAACCCATAGCGCTTCCAAAGCAAATCGAATGGCGTCCGACATTTACTTAGTGTTTGTGTGCTTTGTTTTAGAAGTTATTGAAAATGCAGTGAACATCATATATATAATCTAAACTTAACAAGCTCAATATTTGATTTGCAAAGTCCGGCGAAGTAAAAAATGATTGCATGATCGCGTGTCATGATGTGATGTCCGGCGGAAAGCGACAAAGCCACGCAAAATCTGTTCAAAGGAAGGTCTAAGTTTTTAAGTGTAGGTCACAACACATCACCACACATCGACAAAGAACGAAGGCTCCAAACACTTGATACAAGGCAAAACATTTACATCTAATAGATGGTACGCAAAGATTTTACAAATTCAACATAGATCTACCAGACAACAACAAAGACAGCTAAAGTTAAATTTGCATACGAAAGAAATTTTCTAGATTTTGCGAAGATCAACGGCAGAAAGCGCAAAACACTTTCCCACACATTCTCTAAGTTTTCCTCTACACATCAAATGAACAGGTAGCCGGTCTAGACCCCCCTGATCTGGTCCCCACCTTTTGTTTGGGGAGCTTCAAACCTTGTCCTGTCCGCCGGACTCGACCCGCCAATGCTGGCGGCACAAGCTCCCGCACTCACTGTTTGATGCCCTGAGCTTCAAAAGGTTCAGATCCGACTTTTGTCCTCCGGACTCAAGCTTTGTTGCTGTTGACAGTTCTTGGACGTTGACATTTGTTGGCATTTGCTTTTGACATGTGTCAGTTTTTGGATCAAGGCTTTGTGGGGAGTCACTGTGCAACATGGGTGAACGTGTTCGATACCCATTCACTATGATGTGGAAGAGTGACCTGATGTCAGCGGAGGAGATGAGTCGCTTTGTGGAGGCTTTGCAGCCTCAAGATCTTTGCCTTGAGCCGACTCTAGTCTTGACAATGACAAGTTTGCATAGACAGGATTTATGGGTACTGAGTCTGCGAAGCCAAGGATTGAGCCCTTTTCCACAGATGCTGCTTTTGCTGAGTGGGCTCGCGTCGGACTTTTTGATGAGCCTTGGTGTGGTACTGAGGTTCTCATGCTGTTCTTTCCGCTTGAAGTCAAGCTGATGCTCTTGTGTAGAAATCTCCATGACCGGAGATGTCTCATAGCCTTCAAGTAGTTGCAACCCCGAGACCGCCGGACTATGTGAGAAAAGTGTGTGGCTGCGCTTTGGTTCAGTTTTGTGTTCATTCTCACACGATAATCTGGATTTGACTTGTGTTCTGACAGGCTGCCACCTACAGCCTTTGCTCAGGGGCTGTGCTGGGGTGCTGGTGTTGAAATACATTATTAGAAACATTCCCAAAGACATCCCAGAGTCAATTTTTATCCAGAGTCTGTTTTAAAAAAATTCTTGATAAGTCTTTTTCCAAAATAGATATTGTCAGGAGATATTGCTGCCTGTAATTCTTATTTTCCTTGTTTGCAGCTTCCTACTTCTACCCTTCTCTGATGATTTATGGCTCTTGTACCTGGTGGGTGTCGAATTCTTCCATTTTTGACGCATCGGCCAGCTACGAGGTCCGAGCAATAATGAGACTGAAATGGAGACAAGAAAGATCATGGAGGATTTGCTGTATCAGGTTCAAGTAGCGCAGGATCTCGCTAGCAATGAACCTCTTCGCCAGATCAACGTGGCCGATCGCATGGTCACCTTGGTTGGAGGCCATCATATCAGCAAGTTTTTTGCGCGGTACGTTGAACACATCGTGAGTCAAGTTCAACCAACGGCCCTTGTGTTGGAGCTGTGCAGTGAACGGCTGGAAGCCATCGTTCGAGGCAATCAACACCGCGGCTCGAAAGCAAAGGATTGGATGAACCCAGATAGATGTGAGGTGGAATGCAGGCAGCACGATGGCTATGGGGATGAATTCCGATGTGCTTTCCGTGCGTTCATGGAATATCCGAAGCTGCCTCATGGTTTGCTGGTGCTGGCTGACCGAAAGGAATCTGAAACCAAGTTGAGTGATGACATTTGTGGCCCTAAATCCAGGTCAACACGAGACATGAACATGGCCCTTCAGATCTTTAGCACTGCAGCTCTCGGCGCCACCAAAATTGTGGCGGTGATGGGCGCGGCTCATTTGGATGGAGCCTGGGCTATAGCTAGGAATTTGGATTGTCCGTTTGATTTTATCATATTCTATCCATCCTTAGGTCGTTGAGACCGTCCCTTTCCGGTGCCTTTCACCTCATCCATAGGAGTTGAACACGAGCTGAAGGACATGAACATGGTGTATGGTCGAAGAAAGGGACTCGAAGGCGCTGAGAAGGCTCGGCGTGCGATGGCCCAAGAAATTTGGTCCAAGCCACCACCAACGGGTTTCTATGTCTCAGAGCAAGGCTGCAAGAAGATCCAAGAACGCCAGCAGAAGCTCATCCAAAAGGCAGGAAATTCCAAGTATATAGGTTGGTTGAAGGACAACTCCCCTTTGACTGGTGTTCGTGAGGTGAAAAACCCGTCGTTTTGGATCCATCTGCAGGTGCCACCCAAGAAGTGGAAAGCTCGCGAGAAGTTGAAGGAGGGTAGGAGGGACAGAATGTTCGGATTGATTGAGAAGCTTTGCAACTCCGCGCGCATCATGAACAGCTTACGGCCTGACGGGATCGAGCCAAGCAGCTGGTTGCTTGGTTTTTCAATGGTTTTCCTATGTTTGTCTTTTCATCCTCCTAGGGCATTGGCCATTGGCTGCAGTTTTTCCAGGTTGTTAAGACTTCTTCCTGTGCACAAGCCAAAGACACATTTTGTTGCCGTTTGAAGTGCCAGGAAGGAGCTTTGGACTTGGCACCGCTCTTTGGTGTGAAGGCCGCTGCTGATTGGGTGCGGTATGTTTGGCAGGAAGTCCAATAGTTTCACCGGAGTTTTATTTCCTTCACTAGACCTCTCGTCACTGAAACTTTATTTTCATTTTGGTTTAGACTGTTTATATATAGTGCTTGAAAGGAATCGGAAAGACCCAGGAACTTCAGCATGTCAAGTTCAGTCAGGAGACTCCCCCTTGACTCATCCACCCCAGTTCTCGGAATGAAGCAACTGATACGCATTTGCTGTGACCCTCACCATTTGGGGTTGCTTCCATGCGTGGGCTGTGCCAAAAGCAGGCAGCAATGTGGAAAGTGCTCAGCTTGCAGGTATGGAAACAACCCAGAAGATCCCGTTCTTTAGGCGAATACGCATCATTTTCCAGGCAGCTCATTGCCCACACTAGAAGCTAAGCAGGCACGCGCGCCAGTCTCTCAAGAAATCTGAGCCCTTCGGAAATGAAGGAGCCTGGCTCGTATGTGAGGAATGGTCAAGCCTCCATTTCACAGAGTATTACACGAAATATTAGATTCATTTATTCCTATTCACCATTTGTCAAAACTTCTGACCAGCCCTCAAGTGCCCGTTCCGGCCAGTTCTGACCAGACCCGATCTCCCCAACGCCTTGTGAGTGGCTCGCTGTGTCACCTCCTCCCAGCACCGCAGTGCGATGAGTGCGGGTGGATTGAGTGCCGGAGCTACCCATATGAAGCCACAACGGTGGAGGAAGGTGTTTTGGTCCGATACGGTCCGAGGGCCCATTTCCTTTTGGAAGGAGAGGTTGGCTGGTCTTGCCAATGTTTGCGAACCTCAAGACAGGGAAAGCCCGAGAAAAGCAGCGGTTTGGAGCTTTGCTGTTTATAATATATATACCAGTAGCCATCAATTCAGTGGTTATAACAGAACCAGTTCAAACAAGTATTATAAATCTAGTTTTTTTTTTTTTTTCTCTCGCTGTCTCTCTTATATGTAAACATAGGTGGCTACATGACATTTCCGAAGATGATGGGAACACTTCCAGCCAGTTTTCTCTCAGGAACGGTGTGCAATGAACTGGATCAGGGAGGTGTGGCCGACGAGCCGACCGAGCCGACCGAGCAGTTGGGCGATCGGTGGGCGGAGGGTGGTGGTTTTACAGATCAGTTGGTTCAGGGTGGTGATCATCCTCCTTTCTTCCAACGGTCTTTATGATGTGTTTCTTCGGCTTTGGGGGGTGCTGTTGCCTTGAATGAAAAGAATCCAGGGCAGATTGGGGACGTCCCACCTGGTTCAGCCACGCCGATGCTAGCCAGCATCATCAGGGTTTCTGGACACCCCCAAAAGCTCTTGACTTGATATTGACTGTTCAGAGTGGATGGATTCTGTCCAGTGGAGGGATTCACACGGAAAAACACCACCCAACTTTCCTAGTCAATTTGTTCTATTGGCCGGTGTGTATTTTTGTTTGTGGTTTAGGGAGTTTTTGCTTGACCTGCTAGCAATCCCCAAAGGCAGCAGATTCAGCGGTTGTGGAGGTGGATTCTCCCGTCCCATCCGAGGATGCCACAGAGAAGTGCTACCATAACACCCATCCGAACATCTTGGAACCACGTCCAGATCGTCATCTTTCCTCCCACGTCGACCGACCCCTTGTCCCTACGGCGCCACGTCTCGGGACCCCGCCTCCCGGCGCGCAGTGAGCTGCACCGCCGAGCACGACCCGTGGCCCTGGCCGGAACGGGGCTCCTTGACCGCCGTCGATCAGGCGCGGGCTGCCCGTGAACCGCGGGCGGTAAGCGTGGCGGTAGACCGAGCAGTGGGCCATATTGGCTATCCAGGATCATCATTAGCTATCTGACTTCAAGGTAAGCAGTATTACCGCAGGTGCCCAGGGGCATCCACTCACGGGACGAGCCCCCCCCCAACTCCGTGGGTTTGGAGGACGAAACGCACCGAACTGCCGGGGCCACATGGGTTGGTAGAGGAACTGACAGACGTGTAGTTTTTCCCCAGATGGCTGGAAGCTAGGGGTTCTTACTTCTCAATGCATGGGTTCCGGATTGCGGAAATTGGGTGCCGCTGCCGCCTTGTCTCCCAAGCTTGTCTCCCTTCATGATTTCGCTTTTGGCTGCCGCTGCCGCCTTGTCTCCCAAGCTTGTCTCCCTTCATGATTTCGCTTTTGGCTGCCGCT